ATGCCAAGGTCGAAACGTGCCCCATCAGTGGCACCATTAAGCGGGGCAAGAATGCCCTGGAGGCGGGTCTAGGGCTTAGGGTATTCAGTGTATTAAGGGTACTCAGGGTATGAATGAAGGGTGGTTAGGGTATTTAGGGTATTTGGGGTACTCCGGGTATTTAGGGTATTCAGGGTATTTAGGGCGTTTGCATAGGGTATGGAGAGTATTTTAGGGTATTTACATAGGGTATTTAGATTATTTCAGGTATTTGGGGTATTCAGGGTACGTGAGAGGACTGTGTACAAGGGATGCAAGGGTATCTACTAGGGGAGTTCATTGGCGATCTTCCGAGGCCTGGGATGCAAAAGGGGAATTCATACGCTTTCTGGTTTAGGGTTTAGGGTTTAGGGTTAGGGTTTAGGGTTTAGGTTTTAGGGTTTGGGTTTAGGGTTTAGGGTTTGCCCCTGCCTAGCTGGGACGCACAGCGCCCTGCTTCTGTCAACGGTGAGCTCAAGCCTTAAACCCTAAGCCCTAGGCCCTAAGCCCTAAGCCCTAAGCCCTAAACCCTCAACCCTAAACCCTAAACCCGAAACCCTAAACCCTAAACCCTAAACTCTAAACCCTAAACCCTAAACCCTAAACCCTAAACTCAAACCCTTGGGCCCCCACAGGATGCGGAGCACATCAAGAAAATCCTCGCCGATCCAAAAGAGGAGCGGCGGCCCCGGCTTATAGGGTTTAGGCTTTTGGGATTAGGGTTTAGGGTTTTGGGATTATGGTTAAGGGTTTAGGGTTTTGGGGTTGGGGTTTAGGGTTTTGGGGTTGGCTTACAGACGCCAGCTCTAAGTAGGAGTTTTTTTGACAATCAGGGTCAGGATTCAGGATAGCATCCCTGAAAGAGTCCTGTATCCCTAAATCCCTAAATCCCTAAATCCCGAAATCCCTAAATCCCTAAATCCCTAAATCCCTAAATCCCTAACTCCCTAAATCCCTAAATCCCTAAATCCCTAAATCCCTGAATCCCTAAATCCCTAAATCCCTAAATCCCTAAATCCCTAAATCCCTAAATCCCTAAATCCCTAAACCCTGAACCCTGAACCCTAAACCCTCAACCCTAAACCCTAAACCCTAACCCTAAGCCCTAAATTTCCCCAAATCCCTCAGCCCAGGTCCGAAATCACAATGTGCACGGACGTGGACCGCAACGACAAGTCTGGAGCCTGGAGGTTGGAGGTCAATCATGGGTTTGTTTAGGGTTTAGGGTTTGGGGTTTAGGGTTTAGGGGTTAGGGTTTAGGGTTTAGGGGTTTAGGGGGTTAGGGTTTACGGTTCTCTATACCACCCCCCCCCCCCCCCCCCCCCCGTAGGTTCCGCCAAAAAACATTCAGGTGATTTAGGGATAAGCCTAATTAGGTTACTTTCGGGGGGAACCTAGGGGGGGGGTAGTATAGAGGGGGGTGGTAGCATAATAAGCACGCATCTGTACAATACATGTATATATATATATATATCTACATATTCATACATATAAAATATACATGGACAGTTCTCTAATTGTTGGTCCCTTTTTGGGTGCCCTAAAGAAGAGGGGCCGCCTTGTAATCAGGACCCCCAAAAGGACCATAACCTAGAGAAACCACCATATGTTTACCTACATATATATATATATGTATATGTATAGAAATGTATATACGGTACCCAACCCCCCCCCCCCCCAAAGAACCATACTTTTTCTTGTCTTCCACAAGAGAAGAACCCTTGACCTCAAAGTGCGGAGCTGTCCCAATTTTTTGGGGGGTGCTTTGGCTTCAGGAGATCCAATAGAAGACTCCTCCATCGCCCGTGAAGTTAAGCTTCAACCACCTGATTTTCCTTTCCTTCCCGGAAGACTAAGAGGTATATTGTATCAAGCCTAAACCCCTAAACCCTAAACCCTAAACCCTAAACCCTAAAACCCTAAAACCCTAAAACCAAGGGGAGCTGCCCCCGGCCCAGGTCCCGGATTTGCGAGCATGGCACGGTACAGGCCTGGCGTGCCTCCGGAGACTTTAGGGTTTAGGGTTTAGGGTTTAGGATCTACTAGGGCCCAGAGTAGGCCCTTATTCCCTTCTTTTAGGGGTTTGGGGTTCCTTCTAACCCCCTTCAAGCCAAAAGGGGCACCCTTTGATTCCTAGGGTACTCCTGGGTCTAGCCTAGTGTCTTTTGGATTTGCGCTTGGTGGGGCGGACCAAAACCCTAAGAAGTAAACCCTGTACCCCATACCTTGTAAGCCCTGAACTGCCAGGGACCTTGAAGACGCTTGGGGGCGGGGTTGGTTTCGGGAGGGGTTTCTGTGGTCCTGTGATCCTGCATGGGGTTTAGGTTTTAGAGCTTAGGGTTGGGATGTTTCGGCATCGAGGCCTGGATGTATACAGGGCTAGGGGTCATGCCGGAGGGATTGCTTGATACAAGGATGTTGTGCTTACTTCGGCCGAGTCTCTACACAGAGTTGCTGTAGGAGCTGCTATGATATCAATCGCGGCTGAATTAAGATCTCAAGTCTCACTGGCATCTCATGTATTTTGTAATTGTGCTTATTCTGGCTTACTTTGGCAACCTCCCCTTTGGGCACAGGAGAGTGGTCAGAGTAGTCGGTGTTTTTCGTGTTCATATGCAGCCGCTTCCAGCCCTGTGGTTTCCGAACTCTAGTGATGCGGAGCCGCATGCAAAGCCTAGGGAACACGTCCCCGTTGCCTTGTCGATGTTGCATCACCCTTCTGCCCCGCTGCATGTGACTCCAACACGGGTCCCCTGACGGTTTGGTGTTTCAGGGTGTTCATATGGGAGCTTACGAAAATAAGGGACCCTCATGGCCCTTCTTTAGACCCCAAGATAGTAGGATCCCCTTTGTTAAGGACCCCAATAATGTACCCCTAGTATCCTAAACCCCCATATGCAACCGCCTGCGCGCCTCGCGAGGTGATCGGAAGGCGGCAGATTGAGCTGTACAGCTCTGGCCTTGGTGTTCGAGAAGACACAAGACATCGGGTGCAGCGGTTTAGGGTTTAGGGTTTAGGGTTCAGGACCCCCACATCCTAAGCCTCAAACCCGAAATCCAAAACCCTTTCGTGGCCGGCGTTGCGAGTTTCTCACCGGCCCTGCGTCCGATTTGGGCTTGTTCAATGGTGTTTAGGGTTTGGGGCTTCGGGTTTAGGGTTTGGGGTTTGGGGTTCTGGGGTTCTGGGCTTGGGGCTGCTACATTGGAAAGTATGCCTTCTTGGGTGAGTCGCTGCGAGCCCAGATGCACAGAAAGGGTTTTGGGGCTCTGACTGCCTGATCTGCTACCGCTTTTCTAATCCACGAGACAGTAAAAACACCAAACAATAAACCCTAAACCCCTAACCCCTAAACCCTTGAAAAAGAAACCTGAACCCCAGAAGTGAAGGCTGCGGCGGCACCTTGTTTCCTCTGGCTTTGGGCGTTGGGTCAAGCCGAAATCTACAGACGCTCGGGAAAAGCTTTCGAAACCACAGCCGCACATCTAAAGCTACGATGAGCAACCCCAGACCCTAAACCCCAAACCCCAAACCCGGTGGCAAAAAAAAAAACCAAACCCTATACCCTAAACCCTAAACCCTAAACCCTAAACCCTAAACCCTAAACCCTAAACCCTAAACCCTACACCCTGATGAGCCCTTGAGGCAGGCTCATCCACACTGTGGACCATGTTGAAGGCTACCTTCGACCAGAGCCCGGGGCTTTGCTTGCCTGGGGTTCACTTGTGTGCGCAATTCTAGTTTCGATGGGCCCTAGCTAACTTCCTGAAGGGCTTAAGCTTTTGCGGTTTAACCCTCTACATGTTTATAAACTTTTTACACATTGTAGAAGTTCGCCCTAGTCAAGGAGCTAGCGGTTGAGGGAGCTTGTGGAGGGTTTGGGATTTCGGGTTGAAAGAGCTTCTCAAGCTCTAAATCCTAAAAAAGTCCTCCACCCAAGGTTTGACGCCATTGACGCCTTTCTCGTGCACACCTGGGTGCGCGGGGGCGTGGGTGGGTCAGCTCACGAAAGGGACATAGAGGGACATCCAATTTTCCACATGGGGGCTTGTAACCTCCCAAAACCAGAAACACCAAATAGCAGACTTTCCTCAAAACCCCTAAACTCCAAAACCCCAGACAGGGACGCTAGGGGGGTTACATGGATCTTATGTGGGGGCCCAAAAGGGTCCGTTCTAGGCTCTTCATATCTCTGAATGAGGGTACCGTTTCCTAGGAATACTTGGGGCAGACTTTGGTGAAGGGGTTGGAGACTCAAGAGATGTGAGGCACGAGGATTTAGGGTTTGGGGGTTTAGGGTTTTAGGGTTTAGGGCACGAATGATGACTTCGTGAAGGGAACGCTGCAAGCAGGTTTGGTGTGATAGCGTGGGGCGAAACCCACCGGAACTCCGTGTGCTAACAGACCAACTCCCAGCGTGCCCAAACCTTGAACCCCAAACCCCCCAAACATTGTGGCAGCGTACCCTGAGGCACTCGAATCGGACATTTTCGGCCCTAGGGTGGATAGGGTTCTTAAGGCAGGGGGTTTAGGGCTTAGGGTATCAGGGTGCAGTGATCATGTGAAGGAAAAGCAGAAGCCGCCCCAGCATGTGGCCAGTTCTCTACATTCGGGTCCTTTTTTTGAGTACCCCCAAACCCCAACCCCACAGCGGCAAGGGAACTTCATGATGGGTGCCCGCCCCCCTAAGGGACCCTCGTGGCCCTCGTGCAAGGAACCTGTCATGTGTGCTTGCTTTGAACATCACGGGCTTGGAGGCGATTGCTTTGACGTTTTTGACGTAGACGTGCAGGGCTTAGGTTTAGGGAGTTTAGGGTTGAGGGTTTAGGGTTGGGGGTTTAGGGTTGAGGGTTTAGGGTCGAGGGTTTCATGACCAACCTTCAACCACCAAGGCCCTTAGTCACCTTAGTCATCAGCACTGCCTGGGCCCAGTGGACGTCACATCAAATTTAATAGGGTTCATGTGGCCCACCTCGGCCGTGCCATGGCTGCGGCAGGCAGGGTTGCGATTTCAGTACTTTGCTTGTAGATGGAGGGTTCTAACTCCCAACTCCCAAACCCTAAACCCTCAACGCTCAACCCTAAACCATACTCTGCACCCTTCAGGTCCTTTCCGGCCCAGGCGGCTGCCCGTGTGCCTGGGTGGCGAATGTGGGGGGCGGGGGGGGGGGGGGGGGGGGGGGGGCGTGCTGTGGTGTTTGGTGGGGGGTTCATGGTACTCACTGTATTGAACGATTTGAACTAGGGTTTAGGGTTTAGGGTTTAGGGTGTAGGGTGCTGTACTTAGAACTGTACTTAATACCCATATTATGGCACTTAAGGGGCTTGTGAGTGGGTTATAAGTACAGTTATAATTGGTTAACAAGTACCATGAACCTTCAAGTATGGTTGGTTTCGGACTGGAGAACCCCAGAACCCTAAACCCTATATACATTACTCTGCAACCTGTATTGCCTCTATACATATGTATATATTATATATATATATAACCTCTATGTCTGTAACCCTATGGAACCCTATAAAGCCTATAGAGCCTACAAAGCCTACAAGCCCGCAAACCCGAGAGACCCCCAAATCCTAGACTTTGTTTGTGCACAGCGTTGCTGGTTCATTGGTCTAGATCTCACCGAAGGTTTGGTGCGCTACGATTGGAGACGATACTAGGCATGCTTTGCGATACTATACGAGCATAAGAAGAGGTAACTGATGCAACGTTACAGGGTGCAGAAGTGGTTTTTTGAAACACCCCGAAGACTTAAGGCACCAAAGCCCCCTCAACCCTACCAAGCCCTAACCCCCAACAAAACACAGGCAAAGTCAAAGCGGCGCCGCACCGAACAAGCCGTCGATTTCCAGGCTTTTATTTGCCGGATTCGCAGCCGCTGCCTTCCCCAGCTGTGGGTTTCTGTGTGCCAGGACTTATGTGGGTCAAGGGATTAAGACTCGAAGGTTGTACCCCTTAAGCTTTCCCGCAATACGCTCCCTATATGGCCCTTATGTTCTTTTGCAAAGGTCCTCACACCCGAGGGTACAAACTTAGGGGTCCAAGGCAGAGTCCCTTGAGTGGGGTCTTTTTGCTGAGCAGGCCCTTGGGATGCGTTGCATGTTTCCGTTACCTGGGATGCATGATCTGTTTTTTTTGGGGGCCGGGTTTTGAAAGGGGCCAACCTAGTCCTAGTATGGTGAGAAGTCGGGATTGCAGCTCTTGTCGCGCTGTGATGATAATGACGATGACGACGACGATGACGACGATGAGTTTTTCCCACTTTTTGTTCATCCGTGGTTGATTTTTTCTGATTGATTGCTGATCATTGAGATACCCGGCTACAGTCTACCAGTTTGCTTCCGCTCCCATTCCCAAGGGCGAATTGTTCAGTCAGTGCCCTGCAGTGCCTCCGAGATTGGTCAGCTCGGCTGGCACAGAATCACTCGAGGCCCTACGTTGTTTAGGGTTTAGGGTTTAATTGTGGCTTAAAGCCACAATGAAACCCTAAAGCCTAAAGCCTAAACCTCAGCCTCAACCTTGTAAACCCCCAGAAGCCCTGTCCCGAAGCCTCTGGAGCCCTCAGAAAAGCATGCCCTAAACCCTAAACCCTAAACCCTAAACCCTAAACCCTAAACCCTAAACCCCAAACCCTAAACCCTAAACCCTAAACCCTAAACCCTAAACCACACTTTTTTTCCGGGTCAGGGAGGCAAAGCGCCTGTAGTCTGAGAATGCTCCAGGACCCAGGCCCCAGTCTCAACAAGGGTGCGGCGGAAGGCTGGAGCTGAGTGCTCTTGGTGCGTGTAGGGCTGAGGGTTGAGGGTTTAGGGTTTAGGGTTTAGGGTTTAGGGTTTAGGGTTTAGGGTTTTAGGGTTTCGAGTTTAGGGTCACGAGTCGAGTGGTTTTATGAGGGGCCGCGATGAGGCCTTTTTGCGGATCTTGAGTTAAGGGCGTTGCGCGTCCAGTCTCCTGTGCCCCTCCTACTTGACAGCCTGGCTGCTTAAAAGTCCCAACCCTAAACCCTAAACCCGAAACCCTAAACCCTAAACCCTAAACCCTAAACCCTAGACCCTAGACCCTAGACCCTAAACCCTAAACCCTAAACCCTAAACTCTAAACCCTAAACCCTAAACCCTAAACCCTAAACCCTAAACCCTAAACCCTAAACCCTAAACCCAAAACCCTAACTCACACGCGCCACATACAGGCATGTGTTGCAGTGCTAGAAAAGCTGGCGGCAGTGGATCTTCCCCAGCAGGGCTTCAAGCTGTTGGTGCTCTTGTTGGTTTGGAAAGGAAGGCCATAGTGGTTGGGTTTAGGGTTTAGGCTTAGGGTTTAGGGTTTAGGGTTTAGGGTTTTTTTTAGGGTGTGAAGAAGTACCTGACTCATGAATTCGCAAGGCTTTCAGTCGTAGCCACGAGTGCCAGGTCTGAGAGTGTTGCTAAGACTTTCCGGCCAGGACATCCTAGCCGGGATGCAAACAAGGGTTTAGGGTTTAGGGTTTTAAGGTATAGGGTTGAGGGTTTAGGGTTGTGCCGATCTGCAAAACGCCATGAGGCCGTAGAGGAGCTCGTGTTGGTCTCCACGCTGGCCGCTTCTTCGGCAGCCCTGTGGCAGAGCGGCGCCTTGTGCCCGAAAGGTTTAGGGGTTTAGGGTTTGGGGGGCCCTAAACCCTAAACCCCAAACCCTGAACCCTAAACCCTAAACCCGAAACCCTAAACCCTAAACCCGAAACCCTAAACCCTAAACCCTAAATCAGCTAAGCGGGTGGCAAAAAAAATAACCTAAACCCTAAACCCAAAACCCAAAACCCTAAACCCTAAACCCTAAACCCTAAACCCTAAACCCTAAACCCTAAACCCTAAACCCTAAACCCTAAACCCTAAACCCTAAACCCCTGGCAGCAAAAAGTGTTTGAGAGTTCAAGGTTGGCTTTTGGCTTCAGGAGCTGTCTCGCCAGGGCTAGGGGATACCATGCTTTGCCGCTACTGGGAAGGTGCCGAGCTACTGGAGGGCCTGGTCCAGGCACAGGGTTTAGGGTTTAGGGCTTCGGGTTTAGGGTTTAGGGTTTAGGCCTGGCGTTGAGGGGCCTACGACCTTCCACGCCAGAGCCGCCCCAAGAGCCCGAATTAGGTAGATCTAGGGTTTGAGGCTTAGGGTCCAGGGCTGCACTTCAGGAATTCTGGAAAAGATGCAGCTCGGTCCACTGTTTGTGCTTGCGACTGCCCCGAACTTTGGGGCCTAAACAGCATAACGGGAGAAGGTAAGCCCTGAACATACGATTCGTGGCCTCCCAAACAGCTCGCTTCGCCCACCATTGCGAAGTCCTGCAAGAAGTTGCTTACCCACATTGCACCTTCAGACCTCCTACACACAAATGTGACATAAGCTACCCAAAAGCAGACTTGTGACTGGCCAAACAGGCTGTTTCAAATTAACCTTTCCCCTAGGTCTTGCAGCTCCCAAGCTGCCTCTGCTAGGCAGGGAGCTTCGTAAGCTCCCATGTCATAGTGCTCACAAAACCCTCAGCGAGTGTGATTTTGAGGGTTGGGAGCTCTAGAAGCGTGAAGCTTGCCAGAAAGACGTGGGCCGCCACAAAGCCACGGGTTTTCTGAGATGTTTCGTGTAAATCTGTGCAGGACAGTCCTTCCGAGCCTGCGCCCGAGTTCCTGGAGCCTTGGCTGAATACCCCAAAAGGGCCCAAGCCCCAAGCAAAGTGGGCTCTCGTCATAAGGCACTTGGGGTACATGCTCAGTTCCCCCCAAGAAGAGCTCAGCAAGGCCCAAGCAGTCCCTTCATAGCCCAGTGGCACACTTGTTCTCTCTTTGTTTTGCTTCAAGGTTGCCTGATAAAGTAGCCAACCCCAACACAGGGTACCCTTCTTGCAATATGGTTACCAGGACTCGGAGTAGGCCCTTATTCCCCTTTGTTTTAGGGTTTAGGGTCCCTTAGAATCCCCTTTACAGCAAAAGGGGCACCCTTTTTGTACCTTGGTTTGGGTCCAGGTTAGTGGGCTACCGAGGTACAACAAACACTGCCAAAGCCCTCAGTCGAGTAGCAGCCTTGACCCCCCACAATCCTGAACCCAAAAGTGCTGAAGCTGGGTTAAGGTTTAGGGTTTAGGGTTTAGGGTTTAGGGTTTAGGGTTTAGGGTTTAGGGTTTAGCGTTTAGGGTTCAGGGTTTACGGTCTGTTTAAGGTTTAGGGTTTGGGTTGAGGGCTTCCTGAACTCTTATCATGCAATTTTGCACTGCGCTTGCAAGGTCGTCATGTCGCCCTTTGCAGGTCCGAATATCACTGTTAAACTCTAAACCCTAAACCCTGAACCTTAAACCCTAAACCCCGAACCCTAAACCCTAAAGCCGAAACCCTAAACCCTATCTGCAATCGTTCAAGTAGCCGATGCTTCAGGGCACTTTGCCGCGCTCCAGGAAGCGTTTTGTTGTGTAACGTCTGTCACCTCGTTTGTGGGTAGCCTTGTTGATTTGCAATTCTGTCTTCTCTAACACCCCTCCCTACATGTTCTCCCAATTTAGGGCCCTTTGTTTTGGTACCCTGTCATTGTAAGTGATACTAAGACAGAGGCCTACAAGGTAGGGTTTAGGGTTTAGGGTTTAGGGTTTAGGTTTAGGGTTTAGGGTTTAGGGTTTAGGGTTTAGGGTTTAGGGTTTAGGGTTTAGGGTTTAGGGTTGAGGTAGACCTGCGCAGACGTGAGAGTTTTCGGGAAGTGCGGGGAGCCGAGGCAGCCGCGAACTCCCCGGACCAGGTCATGATTGGAGCTGCTGGTCTGAGGGTTTAGGGTTTAGGGTTTAGGGTTCAGGGTTTAGGGTTTAGGGTTTAGGGTGTTTTGGGGGTGGCAACGAGCGTGAGTTTAGGCGGTACAGGCGGGGGATCTGGGGCTTAGTGCTGCCAAGAAAGGGAGTAATGGGAAACCAAACATCTCGGCCCCAGTGTGGGGCAGATGTCCTTCTGTTCATGAAGGAAGCATCTGGGAGCCTGGTTGGGGTTAACTGGCTGGTTCTTGATAGGGAATGAGGGAATTAGGGTCCTATAATCCCTTTAAGGGTATATGTAGGGCCCTAGTTCCTTCATTCCCTACTAAGAACCAGGGGATTAAGGGGTTTAAGGTTTAGGCTTCGGGGTTTCATGTCGGCGTCCAGAATGATGAGTGGGGCTTGACCCAAACGACCCCCCCTCGTCCCATCATGCTCATGTTGCCCAGCACAGATTATGAGCTTAGCTCTGCAATGGCTGGACTTTGCTGGCAACCATACTTCGACCTATTAACGTGTGACTCTCAGGAGCAGTATGCGAGGCTTGCTGCGGACAGTTGGCCGGAAGACGCAATTCACGTCGAAGGTCGATCTTATCTCGGCAAGCTTGAACATGATTGGCTTTCTGCGAGAAGTTGAGAAGCATCCCTGCCTGTATTACAACGAACGCATCCTGCGCGAAGCAGTCCGACGCTATGAGAACATCTGGCTTCCTCTATTGGCAAAGGTAGGGCCTGAAGGACTGCTGCTGATTCCTCCACTGGACGTGGAATGGGTGTGGCATTGCCACATGCTGTGCCCTACATCTTATGCGCAAGACACCTCTGCTGTGGTGGGCACCATGCCAGATCACCGCATGCTGCCGCGCGATGGCCACTACAAGGCCAATGCGAGGCTTCAGTGGGAGAAGGTTTCGCAGGAACCTTTCGATGCTTGGTAGCCCAGTGGTACCCTTCAATCTTTTTTTTGGTGGGGGGGGGGGGGGGGTTATGGGTTCCCTTATAAAGTAACTACCACAAAAAAGGTAACTACCACAAAAAAGGGTGCCCTTATAGATAATATGGTTGCTGGGCTACTAAGGATGTAGACCTGCACTTGCCGCTACTGGAGGCTGCCAGCGAAACGAAGCCTTCCAGCAAGATCAAGTACGACATCATCGCGGCAGCTGCGCGACAGGCTGCTTTCCACTACCAGGTGGCCGTGATGCCTCAGTACCAAGACCGATTCTTCTTGCGCACCGCTGCAGACCGGTACCTGAACAAGTTCCTGTACCTGAAATTATGCCACCCAGAGAGCGTGTTGGTGCCAACATATGACATCGACTGCATCTGGCATGCGCACATGCTCCATCCTCAGCAGTATGCCGAAGAGACCCCCGCACTCTGCGGGCAGCTCGTCCCTCATGACGACAGCCTTAATGACCGCTGCCATGGTGGGCATTTGGAACAACAATGGATCATGACACAAAGGGCTTGGAAAGACGAGTTTGGTGAAGATGGTCCCGATATCCGTGGAGGCATGTTTCGTGGCATCGCCACACTCGAGGAGCGTCAGCAGAAGCAACAACAGGAACAGACTTTGCAAATATGCGCAGGAGGCAGTTTCAACATCGCCAGAGGTGACAACTATGCCTTTCTGCCAGATCACCATATCTCGTGGCTCCATCGTCAAGGGTTGAGGCTGGATGAGTGCAGTCGGCGTTTCAGCTGCGCCCGAGACCTTGCCGCACAAGTCGTTCATGGAACTGCCAATGGCAGGCGCCGAAGCTTCATGGAAGTCGTCCGGCTTGGCACCTCTTGTCCGCTTGTCACAGCGCACACCGCCGATCTGCCGGCACGCAAGCAGCTCTCCCTGTTTTCGGGGTGCCCAAGCCTCGCAGAGTCTGAGCAAGCACTGATCCTGCGAGTGGCCTCGGAGGATGTGGGGGTGCTTGTTGGACATTGGAAGAAGTTCTCCGGTCTGCGAGAGGTTCCAGGCCATCTTGTTGTGAAGCTCTTCTCATTGAAGAGGATGAGAAGCGTGCGTGTTCGGAGTCTCGGCCAAGAACAGCCGAGCGTGCCTCCCACCTTTCACATTCCCTTGGGAGAACTTGGGGTTGCTGGCTGCACTGCCCTGGCAGAGATCGACTTGGCAAAAGCAGAAGTTCGTGGAATCAGCACAGGTGCTGAATCTGCGGTCAGCTATGGATTCGCACTTGCCCTGGCTATGCTGCATGTGTCGGTGCAACCTCGCATCGGTGTGCGACCTGATCCCCCTGAGGCGCGTGATGCACCTAGGTCACGTGATGCACATGGTCCGTTTGTCTATCCGGAGCTTACGCTGGAACACCAGAGGTTCGATATGCTTCGGGCAGCAGGAGGACAAGGTTTTTCCGGATATCAGTATGATGCTCCGGAAGGCACCGAAGGCATGGGAGGCTCGGAAAGCGCCGACGCCGGCGGTTGTGGAGCCTGTGGAACTGGTGGAGGTCACCTTGGACAGACTTGGAAAAGCAATGTTTTTGAGTTTTTTGCCGGGGGCCCGAAAATAATCCGAGTCTAAGCCTTGGGAAAAGCCCATTGCAGTTTACCCTAAACCCTAACCCCTAAACCCCTAAACCCTAAACCCTAAACCCTAAACCCTAGACCCTAGACCCTAGCTCTCGGACATTCTGTCACTCTGTGCAGCTTCTCCTGCGCGTCGGGAGGTTCATGTGTGTGTGCAGCTGGAAAGAGCGGCCCAGTGCTTTATACTTGGGTAGGCCCCAACCCGTCACTAATAAGTCCTTAAGAACCCCCCCCCCCCCCCCAAAAAAAAAAAAAAAACAAAACAAAGAAACAACTATTCTTCCCTATGAAGGGTAATATATGGGGATTTTGTTTTTTGTTTTTTGGGGGTTCTTAGAGCAAATAGTAGGTCAGAGTGGCTTCGAAACAGGGAAAGGATCTCATTTTCCTAGGCCCCAGATGTATGAATGAAAGTCTCACTGGCCTTACTGAGGCCCTAATCCACTCATGCACTAAACCCTAATTCAGCCGTATTCCCCAAGCACCCGAAGTCCCAACGGGGCAGTCTCCAGAATCATGGGGTGCGGGGGGTTCATGGGAGTAGGTACCTACTTGGAGGTTCATGGTACTTATTGGCCAGTTGTAACTGTACTTATAACCCACTTATAAGCCCCTTAACTGCCTTAATGTGGTTACAAGTACAGTTACAAGTACAGTTATGACTTGTTAATGAGTACCATGAACCTCCAAGTATGGGGCTGCCTGTCGAATGACAAAATGAGTTGGTTGGTCATAGATGGCTGTGTTTTTCGGCTGAGAGCCAAGTGAGCAAAATGGATTGGTCATAGATGCTAGACAATTATGTGCGACGAATGGTACAGATAGTTTAAATGGGAGGGCGGGGTGATACCAAGCACATAGTGATATAACGGGACCTTGCGAATCGCCGGCTCAGGCCAATCGTAAACCCTAAACCCTAAACCCCAAACCCCAAACCCTAAACCCTAAACCCTAAACCCTAAACCCTAAACCCTGAACCCTAAACCCCAAACCCCAAACCCTAAACCCTAAACCCTAAACCCTAAACTCAAACAAGGTCACTGGAGCGTCGGGCGCTGGCAAGAGCTCCGTGGTCAACGCCTTGCGGTCTCTACGGGACCTCGGTGCTTTTGGGGTTTAGGGTTTAGGGCTTAGGGTTTAGGGTTTAGGGCTTATGGCTTACAGTTTAGGGCTTAGGGTTTGGGCTTCTAGGTTCTGTAGACTGGGGGGTACGGATGCTGCTGCTGCTGCTGCTGGGGAGTTTGCTGCCACACGTGATCCTCTTTACTGAAACGTGGGGGTCATGATGCTGCTGATGCTGGGGGTTTGCTGCTTCACGTGCCCTTCCGTGCTGAAAGGCAGGCGCCATGATGCTGCTGATGCTGGGGCTTTGGGGTCATGATGCTGCTGATGCTGGGGGTTTGCTGCTTGGGGTTTGCTGCTTCACGTGCCTTCCGTGCTGAAAGGCAGGCGTCATGACGCTGCTGATGTTGGGGCTTTGCTGCCTCACGTGCTCCTCTTTGCTGAAACGTAGGGGTCATGATGCTGCTGGGGGTTTTCTGCCTCACGTGCCCATCCGCGCTGAAAGGCAGGCGTCATGATGCTGCTGATGCTGGGGCTTTGCTGCCACACGTGCTCCTCTTTGCTGAAACGTGGGGGTCATGATGCTGCTGATGCTGGGGGTTTGCTGCTTCACGTGCCCTTCCGTGCTGAAAGGCAGGCGCCATGATGCTGCTGATGCTGGGGCTTTGGGGTCATGATGCTGCTGATGCTGGGGGTTTGCTGCTTGGGGTTTGCTGCTTCACGTGCCTTCCGTGCTGAAAGGCAGGCGTCATGACGCTGCTGATGTTGGGGCTTTGCTGCCTCACGTGCTCCTCTTTGCTGAAACGTAGGGGTCATGATGCTGCTGGGGGTTTTCTGCCTCACGTGCCCATCCGTGCTGAAAGGCAGGCGTCATGATGCTGCTGATGCTGGGGCTTTGGGGTCATGATGCTGCTGATGCTGGGGGTTTGCTGCTTGGGGTTTGCTGCTTCACGTGCCTTCCGTGCTGAAAGGCAGGCGTCATGACGCTGCTGATGTTGGGGCTTTGCTGCCTCACGTGCTCCTTTTTGCTGAAACGTAGGGGTCATGATGCTGCTGGGGGTTTTCTGCCTCACGTGCCCATCCGTGCTGAAAGGCAGGCGTCATGATGCTGCTGATGCTGGGGCTTTGCTGCCACACGTGCTCCTCTTTGCTGAAACGTGGGGGTCATGATGCTGCTGATGCTGGGAGTTTTCTGCCTCACGCGCCTATGCGTGCTGAAAGGCAGGCTGGGGTTTGCTGGAGCTCCTCTTTGCTGAAACGTGGGGGTCATGATGCTGCTGATGCTGGGGGTTTTCTGCCTCACGTGCCCATCTGTGCTGAAAGGCAGGCGTCATGATGCTGCTGATGCTGGGGCTTTGCTGCCACACGTGCTCCTCTTTGCTGAAACGTGGGGGTCATGATGCTGCTGATGCTGGGAGTTTTCTGCCTCACGTGCCCATGCGTGCTGAAAGGCAGGCGTCATGATGCTGCTGAAGCTGGGGCTTTGCTGCCTCACGTGCTCGTCTTTGCTGAAACGTGGGGGTAATGATGCTGCTGATGCTGGGGGTTTTCTGCCTCACGTGCCCATCTGTGCTGAAAGGCAGGCGTCATGATGCTGCTGATGCTGGGGCTTGCTGCCACACGTGCTCCTCTTTGCTGCGTGGGGTCATGATGCTGCTGCTGCTGCTGGGAGTTTTCTCCTCACTGCCCATCCGTGCTGAAAGGCAGGCGTCATGATGCTGCTGATGCTGGGGCTTTGCTGCCACACGGCTCCTCTTTGCTGCTGAAACGTGGGGTCATGATGCTGCGATGCTGGGGGTTTTCTGCCTCACGTGCCCATGCGTGCTGAAAGGCAGGTGTCATGACGCTGCTGATGCTGGGGTTTGCTGCCACACGTGCTCGTCTTTGCTGAAACATGGGGGTAATGATGCTGCTGATGCGGGGGTTTCTGCCTCACGTGCCCATCTGTGCTGAAAGGCAGGCGTCATGATGCTGCTGATGCTGGGGCTTTGCTGCCACACGTGCTCCTCTTTGCTGAAACGTGGGGGTCATGATGCTGCTGCTGCTGGGAGGTTTTCTGCCTCACGTGCCCATCCGTGCTGAAAGGCAGGCGTCACGATGCTGCTGATGCTGGGGCCTTTGCCGCCACACGTGCTCCTCTTTGCTGAAAGGGGGGTCATGATGCTGCTGATGCTGGGAGTTTTCTGCCTCACGTGCCCATCCGTGCTGAAAGGCAGGCGTCTGTGCTGCTGATGCTGGGGCTTTGCTGCCACACGTGCTCGTCTTTGCTGAAACATGGGGGTGATGATGCTGCTGATGCTGGGGGTTTTCTGCCTCACGTGCCCATCTGTGCTGAAAGGCAGGCGTCATGATGCTGCTGATGCTGGGGCTTTGCTGCCACACGTGCTCCTCTTTGCTGAAACGTGGGGGTCATGATGCTGCTGATGCTGGGAGTTTTCTGCCTCACGTGCCCATGCGTGCTGAAAGGCAGGCGTCATGATGCTGCTGATGCTGGGGCTTTTGCTGCCTCACGTGCTCGTCTTTGCTGAAACGTGGGGGTAATGATGCTGCTGATGCTGGGGGTTTTCTGCCTCACGTGCCCATCTGTGCTGAAAGGCAGGCGTCATGATGCTGCTGATGCTGGGGCTTTGCTGCCACACGTGCTCCTCTTTGCTGAAACGTGGGGGTCATGATGCTGCTGCTGCTGGGAGTTTTCTGCCTCACGTGCCCATCCGTGCTGAAAGGCAGGCGTCATGATGCTGCTGATGCTGGGGCTTTGCTGCCACACGTGCTCCTCTTTGCTGAAACGTGGGGGTCATGATGCTGCTGATGCTGGGGGTTTTCTGCCTCACGTGCCCATGCGTGCTGAAAGGCAGGTGTCATGACGCTGCTGATGCTGGGGCTTTGCTGCCACACGTGCTCGTCTTTGCTGAAACATGGGGGTAATGATGCTGCTGATGCTGGGGGTTTTCTGCCTCACGTGCCCATCTGTGCTGAAAGGCAGGCGTCATGATGCTGCTGATGCTGGGGCTTTGCTGCCACACGTGCTCCTCTTTGCTGAAACGTGGGGGTCATGATGCTGCTGATGCTGGGAGTTTTCTGCCTCACGTGCCCATGCGTGCTGAAAGGCAGGCGTCATGATGCTGCTGATGCTGGGGCTTTGCTGCCTCACGTGCTCGTCTTTGCTGAAACGTGGGGGTAATGATGCTGCTGATGCTGGGGGTTTTCTGCCTCACGTGCCCATCTGTGCTGAAAGGCAGGCGTCATGATGCTGCTGATGCTGGGGCTTTGCTGCCACACGTGCTCCTCTTTGCTGAAACGTGGGGGTCATGATGCTGCTTTGCTGAAACGTGGGGGTCATGATGCTGCTGCTGCTGGGAGTTTTCTGCCTCACGTGCCCATCCGTGCTGAAAGGCAGGCGTCACGATGCGTCACGATGCTGCTGATGCTGGGGCCTTGCCGCCACACGTGCTCCTCTTTGCTGAAACGTGGGGGTCATGATGCTGCTGATGCTGGGAGTTTTCTGCCTCACGTGCCCATCCGTGCTGAAAGGCAGGCGTCTGATGCTGCTGATGCCGGGGCTTTGCTGCCACACGTGCTCGTCTTTGCTGAAACATGGGGGTAATGATGCTGCTGATGCTGGGGGTTTTCTGCCTCACGTGCCCATCTGTGCTGAAAGGCAGGCGTCATGATGCTGCTGATGCTGGGGCTTTGCTGCCACACGTGCTCCTCTTTGCTGAAACGTGGGGGTCATGATGCTGCTGATGCTGGGAGTTTTCTGCCTCACGTGCCCATGCGTGCTGAAAGGCAGGCGTCATGATGCTGCTGAAG